GTTTAAATGGCTTTTTTAAACAAAACATTTTTACGTTAATAAAATATAGATCAACTTAAAGAAAACTCATGGAGAAATAAAAAAGAGAAATACAAAACATTGTATTGCACTTAGCTGACTGCAGGTATTTTAAGACACAAACTAAATCAAGACAAAAAGAACTATGATTATAATGAGCTAATTGCAAATTCCTGTCGCACATTTTGCCACTAGATGTCACTGAAGTTATACATTTGTAAATGAACCCATTTTCATTTATGAAGTGGTTTTTCATTTGCTTATTACAAGTGATGAGCAAAACACTCATTTTATTGGATTTCTTCAAACCGTGCAGCCTRTTTGTCACGTCTGAGTCATCTTTCGTTGCAAATGTAAAGACTACTTTATTTTTAGAACACCGTGGAAATATGAAGATAAAAAAAACTGTGTCAAAAGAATATTTAAATTTAAACGGGGCTAAATATCACAGCTGTTAAACTAAAACCTAAAAACTTTTAATGTGCATGAACCTCTAACCTACACTTATTTAATGTCAAAGCTGAGTGGCCAGTTAACACACCTGCAGACTATTTCTGCTGATTGCAACACAGCCAGCTGTGCCAGAAACTGCTGGAGGAAGACAGAAAAATAAGTGATATTRTTATAAATATTTTTATAACAGATTCCGGAAATAACTGATAAGAAGATGACGTGTCAAAAAAATGAATATGCATATTTACCTAAAGACAAGTAGAACTATCAAGAGAAAACAATTTGGAGTCCTATGAAGATCAACCGGATTTTGAGAAGCTGTTTTTAATTTTATGTTTTATTTATTTAGCAGAGGTCTAAAAAGTAATTGAAAAAAATAACTAAGTAAAAGTAAAATTACATGAGAAAACTATGGTACTCAAATGAATATCATAAAACTGTTCACAAAAATTTGGAAAATAAAAGTAAAAGTACTTTTACACACTCTCTAAGAAATAAACTGTTGAATTTACTGAACCAAACTGGGTCAGGTTGAGTAAATTGAGTAATATATGTATGTCCTTTGCTCCTTTTACTCGAATAGGCTTAGTGGAGCCAGCTGACATGACTTTGTTGAGTAAATTCAACTCATAATTTTTTAGAGCACATAAACATCATTCATGATGAGTTCAAACATATTTAATTTTGTAAGGAGTAACTAGGAGTTACATTTTAAAGTA